GTATTTCCTGTGCTAGTTTCTCCTGTGTGTGAGTAATTCACTCTTCCTGAAACTATATTAACAACATGAAAGGCTTGAAGATGATAAACACTTTGCTCCTTTAGAAATTAGAAACATACTTCTGCTTGAATTTTGTTGTTGAGGTTGGGCATATCTTACATGATCAAAAAAGTGATTTAGTGCCCTGGAGGAGGTGGGAATGGGGGGTGGGCTGGAGGGAAGGTGAGGGGGGCCATGGGGGGAGAACAAGGGAATCTGTGGCTGATATGTAGAACTGAATTATATTGCAAAATAAAAATACTAATTAAAAAAAAAGTGATTTAGAATAACCTTAAGCTAATTTTAAACTGAACTTTAAAAAGATCTTTAAAATTTGCAGTTCAATTCCTAAAGTTTTTCCATCTCATTCCAGGCCAGTTTGAAATAGAGAAGAGCTGTGAGCTGCTTTTTCAGATGGCTGAGTCTGTTGATTACGATTATGATGTACAAGACACCACACTAGATGGCTTGCTGATACTGCCATGTTATGGGTCTATGACAACAGGTAATTCCTTACTAGGAAAGAAAATATGACAGACTTTTATAGACTTTTTAAAACAATTTAGTTTTTTTATTCATATGTTTCTGTGTATGTCAGTACATACTTGTGGGGGCCAGCTGAGCCAGCAGAGGACATTGTATATCTTAGCTGTAATTACAGGCAGGTGTGTGTTGCTTGATATGGGTACTGAGCACCAGACTCTGGTTCCCTGAAAGAGTAGCAAGAACTCTTGACCACTGAGCCATCTCTCCAGCTCCCTTTTAAAATATTTTTATTAATTACTGTATATATACAGAAAAAAATATAAATTTTCAGTATTTGGATCAAAAAATTTCACAAACTGATCTCAGTTTTGTAACTCCCAGGTCTTAACCCAGATCAGGAAGTAAAATGTTGAGAGCCATCATCCCTCTGGTGAACCGATTTGTTTAAAGTCCTTTCGCGGTAACTTTTAAGAACCTTGGATCTGCTTGGTTTTTGTTTTTTGTTTTTGTTTTTCAAGACAGAGTTTCTCTGTGTAGCTTTGGAGCCTGTCCTGGATCTCACTCTGTAGCCCAGGCTGGCCTCGAACTCACGGAGATCCACCTGCCTCTGCCTCCCAAGTGCTGGGATTAAAGACATGCACCACCACCGCCCAGCTCTCCTTAGTTTTTTAAGAGTGGATTTGGTGCTCTCCCAACAGAAAAAAATCCTTTTGGGGATTCTTTCAAATGAGGACTATAGCCTCCCAATACTTAGTCTGCCATTGCTGCAAAATTGATAGAAATCTGAGGTATCCAGGTATATCCTACAGTAAGCAGAGTGGACTTTCATTCCCTATTAAGTAGCCATATATTGGCCTGTGTAGCTAGAGTTGTCCTGCCTGGCCCACAGTCAGGACAAATCTCTCTCACCTGCCAGTCCCACAGCCGCTCAGACCCGACCAAGTAAACACAGAGACTTATATTGCTTACAAACTGTATGGCCGTGGCAGGCTTCTTGCTAACTGTTCTTACAGCTTAAATTAATCCATTTCCATTAATCTATACCTTGCCACATGACTCGTGGCTTACCGGCATCTTCACATGCTGTTTCTCATCGTGGTGGCTGGCAGTGTCTCTCTGACTCAGCCTTCCACTTCCCAGCTTTATTCTCCTCTTTGTCCCGCCTATACTTCCTGCCTAGCCAATGGCCAATCAGTGTTTTATTTATGGACCAATCAGCAACACATTTGCCATACAGAACATCCCACAGCACTTCCCCCCCCTTTTTTTTTTCAAAAAGGAAGGTTTTAACCTTAACAAAGTAAATTTACATATAATTTGGGAATTTAGGCGTAGCTTCTCTTACTACTTCCTGCTGGAGGGGGGCGCTGTATCTTATGGGGACACAAAGAAAATTTTAGAATTTTGGAATAGTCCATGAGGCTGTATCGTCTGAGCCAGTTGCCTTGAAACCATTCTGGATGTTGAATCATCTGGGCCATGGTGTCATCGGAGACCTTTCAGGAGGTCTTGGCTGGTCAAACCTGATGTATCTTAATCTGGAACAAATCCATAGCCTTTGGCTTTCTGTGGGAACAAAAGCAGAGTCTCCTTTCCAAAGCAACATATCCTTATATCCAAATTTTGAAGTCATGGTATCTTTAAAATATACATACTGGTTTAACTCAACATCTTTTATGATCAAATGTTTTTCTGCAGTTAAAAATCCTAAAGACAACACAATCCAGATTCTCTGTGTAATATTCATCTTTAAGTGGCTTATTTTTTATATTAATTTTACTGTCTCTTTAAAGACTTTACTTTTTAAAACTATGTATTTGTTTCTATAACTGTATATATCACCTTTTTTGTCTCTTTCAAGCCTACGTATATTTTACACACATTTAAACTATTACATCTGAATCTTTCTTATTGTGAATCTATTGCTTTAAACTGTAGCAGCTGTGGCTGCTGGCTCCGCCCACCTCAGCTTCCCAACATGTCTGTGGTACTTTACCGCCAGCTCTGGGAGCTATCATGGGTCTATGTTTTTATCCAAGCAGCATGTAGCCTAGAAACCTCTTTTTTTTGTTTTATACTAGCAAAGGCTAAATCCACCACGCAGCTTAATGTGCCACTTGCAGAGGCCTCATTCTCGCCATATGCTAGGAACCCACCAGTAGCTCAAACCGGCAGCTGTCGCTCACTTGAGAGAGACAATTAGGAAGCTGTTTTTAGCTCCATTTTAGAATCTTTTTTCAGGTTTTAGGTGGAAGCTCTTGCCTCACGTTGGGCGCCATTTGTCGCTAGAGTTTTCCTGCCTGACCCACAGTCAGGACAAATCTCTCTCACCTGCCAGTCCCACAGCTGCTCAGACCCGACCAAGTAAACACAGAGACTTATATTGCTTACAAACTGTATGGCTGTGACAGGCTTCTTGCTAACTGTTCTTATAGCTTAAATTAATCCATTTCCATTAATCTATACCTTGCCACATGACTCGTGGCTTACCGGCATCTTCACATGCTGTTTCTCATCGTGGTGGCTGGCAGTGTCTCTCTGACTCAGCCTTCCACTTCCCAGCTTTATTCTCCTCTTTGTCCCGCCTATACTTCCTGCCTAGCCAATGGCCAATCAGTGTTTTATTTATGGACCAATCAGCAACACATTTGCCATACAGAACATCCCACAGCAGGCCTGCTTTTTAAGACTGATCAAGCCGGGCGGTGGTGGCGCACGCCTTTAATCCCAGCACTCGGGAGGCAGAGGCAGGAGGATCTCTGTGAGTTCGAGGCCAGCCTGGTCTACAAAGTGAGTTCCAGGAAAGGCGCAAAGCTACACAGAGAAACCCTGTCTCGAAAAACCAAAAAAAAAAAAAAAACAAAAAAAAAACCCAAAAAACAAAAAACAAAAAAAGACTGATCATTTCGTTATTGGGTGTGTGTGTGTGTGTGTGTGTGTGTGTGTGTGTGTGTGTGTGTGTGTGTGTTCAAAGAGGACATGCGAAGTTTTTGGGGGTATTTGGTTATAATAAATATAATAAAAAACTGTTGAATGAGAGCTAGAATTTGTCCTGTACCACTTTTTTATTATTGGATTTAACTTATAAAACTAAAGGGATGTTGTGGCTAGAGAGATGGCCCAGCGGTTAAGAGTACTGACTGCTTTCCAGAGGACCCTGGTTCAATTCCTAGTGCCACATGGTGGCTCACAACCATATGGAGCTTCAGTTCTGGAGGATTAAAGCCTGCTTCTGGCCTCCTTGTGCACCTCACACATGAGGTACACAGACATACATGTAGGCAAAACACCCATACACATAAAAATAAATTTTTTTTAAAAAATTAAAAATTACATTATCAGTTAACCATAGATGAGGTGCTATTTTGGAAATCTTTTGTGATAGTAGGCTCTTGATATAGATTAAGTAGTGATCTTCATTTTACATTTTATTTTCCATTTTACATCTTAAAGGCAATTATTTTTCTTTTCTTTTTTTTAGGGGGGCAAGGGGTTTGAGACAAGGTTTCTTTGTGTGGCTCTGGCTGTCCTGGAACTCACTCTGTAGATCAGGCTGGCCTTAAACTCAGAGATCCACCTGCCTTTGCTTCCCAAGTGCTGGGGTTAAAAGCATGTGCCACCACCATGCAGCTTAGAAAAGACTTTTAACAGTGACTCCTACCTGGGTTTAGTGAATAGGTAAAATTAATGAGGTAGATATTTTGAGACAGGATCTTATTATGTATCCTAGGGTGGCCTTCAGCTTGGGCTCCTTCTGACCCCCTCTTGGGTATTGGATTATAGGTATAAAACACCATATTTAGCTCAAGGTGAATATTTTCTATTTACTCTTTTTTTTTTTTTAAATATATTAGCCATGATAATGTCTTTTTAATGAAAATCTTAGATGTCTTCCCAGTTGAGACATCTAAAATTCTCATCTGTCAAATGTGGACAAGTGCTGTGTAATCACTTCTAAGATTATATGAACTAGCTCTTTGGTCTGGCCTGTGCCACCTACTCCCACACTATAGGAGATGTTTTTATAATTATGTGTATATATGTGTGTCTGTATAGGTATGTGCACATGTGAATGCAGGTGCATGAGGAGTTCAGAAGAGGGTGTCAGATCCTTTGAACTGGAGTTACAAACTGTTGTGAACCATCCCATGTGGACGCTGGGAACTAAATTCAGGTCCTCTGGAAGAACAGTACTTGCTTTTAACCCATGAGCCACTCCTTGAGCCTCATATTATTATTGTTTTGAGTCATGGCCTTATGTAGCTCTGGCTGGCCTGAACTTGCTATATAGACCAGGCTGGCTTCAAACTCATAGAGATCCACTCACCTCTGACTCCTAAGTGCTGATATTAAAGATGTGTGAACAACTTGAATGCAGGTATGATGTAAATGGTGAAAAATCCTGTTTAAACATTTGTTAAACTGAGTTTCAGACTTTGCTTCCTGCTGACATTCCTTTAAATGTCTTACCTTACCTCAAGTTCTTGTTCTCTCACAGTTCTTTTTCTCTCTCTGTCTCTGTATCTCTGTCTCTTTCTCAGAGAGGAAATCCACAAGGTTTTTGTTGTTGTTGTTGTTGTTGGTTGTGTTTTTAAATCATTCAGGCCTCGGAGGCAGAAGCAAAGCTTCAAATGGAAACAAGACATTGTGTCAGCTCTCCTGCTGTTTATTGCGGTGGACAGCACAATTGCTGTTGTATTGACAACATCACTCCAGTTGTACCTGCAGGGTTAGAGTTGGCACATAAGCAGAACATTTCGGAGAACAAACATGTCCTAGAGCTCAAATGGACTATAATCAAGGGAGCTGAGTTGCTGACTTCTTTGTTCAAGTTACTCCTGTCACGTGTGTGGGAAAGTCAGAACCCATTGAAATATACCTGTTGTTTCATAAATGACAGATACTTGTATGGGATTGAAAAATTTTATGGGCTGGAGAGATGGCTCAGCGGTTAAGAGCACTGGCTGTTCTTCCAGAGGTCCTGAGTTCAATTTTCAGCAACCACATGGTGGCTCACAACCATCTGTAATGAGATCTGGCACCCTCTTCTGACCTGCAGGCAGAACACTGTATACATAATAAATAAATAAATAAATAAATCTTTTTTTTTTTTTTTTTTTTGGTTTTTCGAGACAGGGTTTCTCTGTGTAGCTTTGCGCCTTTCCTGGAACTCACTTGGTAGCCCAGGCTGGCCTCGAACTCACAGAGATCCGCCTGGCTCTGCCTCCCGAGTGCTGGGATTAAAGGCGTGCGCCACCACCGCCCGGCAAATAAATAAATCTTTAAAAAAAGAAAAAAGAAAAATTTTATCACTGAAAGTGCTTAGCCTTTTGGGAGAGTTAGAAGGGGTCTCAAGTTCCTTTAAATAGATGGGTGGTGGTGGCACACACTTTAATCCTAGCACTCAGGAGGCAGAGGCAGGCAGATCTCTGATCTCTGAGTTTGAGGCTGGCTAGCCTGGTCTACAGAGTGAGTTCTGTGACAGCCAGGGTTACAAAGAAAGACCCTGTCTCGAATAACAAAATAAGAAACAAACAAACAAAAAAATTGCCTTTAAATAGGTTAGGCAAACCATAGGTATTCCCCACTGAGAAATTACACATGAAAAATAGTATAAAGCCTGCCTTAACATGTAGGATCACATAGTGGTCTCTGGCCATTGTCAACTATTAACTTGTGAGAGCTTTTTCTTCCACAGTGGTCCCTTTGGTATCACCTATTTTGACCTTTGAGAGTGACTTGTCTTATTCTGTAGTAAATTGCCTATCTTCTAAAGAAAATGTATATCTGCCCACAGACATGTTTTTGTATACTCAGACTTTTTTTTTTTTTAAGTTTTTCGAGACAGGGTTTCTCTGTGTAGCTTTGCGCCTTTCCTGGAACTCACTCTGTAGACCAGGCTGGCCTCGAACTCACAAAGATCTGCCTGCCTCTGCCTCCCGAGTGCTGGGATTAAAGGCGTGCGCCACCACCGCCCGGCCAGACTTTTATTTTACAAATAGATGCCACATGATGTTCCTGAGACTGTAGAGTAAATCTGCATTTGATCACTGGTTATTCAGGAGGGGGATATAAGAGTACTTTGTATTTCAAGAGTATGTGAAGGAAAGGAAAGGTGCATGGTGTCAGAGAGTAACACCAGTGGCTTAGCTATAGCTCAGTGGTGGCACCCGCCTTTAATGTCACACTCAGGAGGCAAAGGCAAGAGGGTCTCTGTGAGCCAGCCTGGTCACACAGAGAGCTCCAGACCAGCAAGGGCCACAGTGAGATCCTGTCTCAGAAACAAACAGAAAACTTACTGTGTGTGGAATCTCCTCAAATGGAAAAACTTTTGTCTTACAAATCAATAAGTAGTTTGTTTTAATATTGTTGTATTATTGTTTTTGAGAATTTCATACATGAATACTGTATTTATGTAATTTTTACCCCACATTCTCCCCTCCATTGCTTTCCATGTCCCTCCATTCCCTCTCAACTTCATGACCTCTTCTTTGATTATTACTCTTTTTTGTTTGTTTTTTTGTTTTGTTTTGTTTTTTTTTTGTTTTTTCGAGACAGGGTTTCTCTGTGTAGCTTTGCGCCTCTCCTGGAACTCACTTGGTAGCCCAGGCTGGCCTCGAACTCACAGAGATCCGCCTGGCTCTGCCTCCCGAGTGCTGGGATTAAAGGCGTGCGCCACCACCGCCCGGCAATTATTACTCTTTTATACATACACATGTATACATAAATACAGCCTTAGTGAGTCAGTATAGTGTTGATCATTGATCATATGTATGTGTTTAGAGATGACCTCTTGGGATTATAATTAGGTGTTTGACTTTTTATTTATTTATTTTTATTTTTACTTATTTATTTACTTATTTATTTATTGGTGTATGAGTGTTTTGCCTGCATGTAGGTTTGTGCACCATATGTATACCTGGTGCCTATGGAGGTCAGAAGACAGCATTAGATCCTCTGGAACTAGAGTTTTAAGGATGGTTGTGAAACACCATTTAGGTGGTAAGAATTGAACCCAACTCTTCTGCAAGAGCAGCATTATTCTTAACCACTGAACAATCTATCCAGCCCTTATAAGTAGGTTTTATACTAGCAGAATATTAAAAATCACTCAGATTGCTGGGCAGTGGTGATACACGCCTTTAATCCCAGCACATGGGAGGCAGAGCCAGGAGGATCTCTGTGAGTTCAAGCAGCTACGACTACAGAGAGAGTTCCAGGACAGGCTCCAAAGCTACACAGAGAAACCTTGTCTCAGGGAAAAAAAAAAATCACTCAGATCCTACCAATATAACTAAATGATAACCATCATTAACATTTTGAGATACATTGTCCTGATATATCTATAATTTTTAAAAACTATCTTATTTATTTATATGTGTGCCATTTTGTGTGTGTGTGTGTGTGTGTGTGTGTGTGTGTGTGTGTGTAGGTCAGAAGACAACATGTAGACATTGGTTCTCTTCTTCCACTATGTATGACACAGGGTGAAACTAGACATGGCTCTTTTACTTCCTGAGCCATCTTGCCAGCTCTGTAAATATATTCTTATGCTTGGGATTATGTTTTGTTTTATTTTTCTTTGAGATACAGTCACTACTCTACATAGCTCTGGCTGTCATGGAACTCACTATGTAGACCGTAGACCAGGCTGTCCTCAAACTCAAGAGATCCGCCTGCCTCTGCCTTCCAAGTGCTGGTATTAAAGGCGTGTGCCACCACACCTGACTGGTAGGTCATTTTGTATTATTTGGATATATTCAGCATTTACCATCGGTCCTGTTCATCTGATTTTTCCATTCTTCAGCTCATTTGTTAATTTTCAGTCATCTATATTTTTTTGTTTTTTGCTGAACATGGGTATCTTGCCTGCATGTTTGTAAGTGCACTACATGTGTGTCTTGTGCTGAGGAAGTCCCAAGATGGCATTGGCTCCCCTGGGAGTTAGGAATGGTTGTGAAACCTCCATGTGGGTGCTGGGAATTGAATTCCAGTCCTCTACAAGGGCAGTAAGTGCTTCTGACCATTGAACCATCTCTCCAGTCATCGTTAGGATACTATTTTTGTGTGCTTGTTTTATAGTAAAATCTGGAATTTGATGTATTTTTATTTTTATTTTTATTTTTATTATTATTATTGGGTTTTTTTGAGACAGGGTTTCGGGGTTTCTCGTGATGCCCTGATGGCCTAGAACTTGCTGTGTAGATCAAACTAGCCTCAGACTCACAGAGATTCGCCTGCCTCTGCCTCCCAAGTGCTGGGATTAAAGGTTTGTGCCACCACGCACCTGACTGTGCTTATTTTTAAAATTAACTTTCTTTTCTTTTCTTTTTTCTTTTTGGTTTCTCTGTGTAGCTCTGGCTGTCCTAGAACTTGCTCTGTAGACCAGATGATGTTGAACTCAGAGATCCCGACTTTCTTTCTCATTGTTTGTATTTGATTTTTATTTTATTGGTGTTTTGCCTACATGTATGTCTGTGTGAGGGTGTTGGATCCTGGAGTCACAGACAGTTGTGAGCTGCCACATGGGTACTGGGAAATGAAGTCAGATCCTCTGAAAGAGCAGCCAGTGCCCTTAACTGCTGAGCCATCTCTCCAGCCCCTAAAATTAACTTTTTGAGATATAATTTATATATGATAAGTAATGCTCTGCAGTATTATTTTAAAGCTCTGATTCATTGGATTTTGGCAGTTTGTCTACTTATGTAATCACACACATGATGACCCCATCTGATGCACTCTTTCTCCGGATCCAGTGCCTCTTTCTCTTTGAATGCAGTTTACGTCCCGTTTGTTGGCTTCTCTCGTTCATTAACACAACTCATTCTCATGTTGAATAGTCTCTGTCTCTCAAGTGTTTGTAGTTTCTTTCTAGTTCCATCATGTTTTTAAGATCTTCTCATGTCAGGAAGTTGATTTTCATGTGCTGTTAGTAAGAATGCTCAAGGCATTTTTTGTGATACATCCAGATAACTTCTCAGGGTGGGCAGAGTTTGAACATGGAAATACTGTATTTCTTTTTTCTATTCCACAGTCATCCTCCTCTTTCCTTCTTTGGTTGGCCCTCATTGAAGTTTACTACATTAGACTGTATTCCTTTTATTCACATACTGTATGCCTGGACAAGCATATTTCTGCTTTGGATTCTTTTGGAGAGTATTTGGACAGGGAATTCCGGGAAGAGAATTCCATTGTCCTTAGTTTATATCATATCTTGGTAGAAGCTTTATTTCAGTAAGAGTGTTAAATGGTCTTTTAAAAATGATTGTAGCCGGGCAGTGGTGGAGGCGCACGCCTTTAATCCCAGCACTCGGGAGGCAGAGCCAGGCGGATCTCTGTGAGTTCGAGGCCAGCCTGGTCTCCAAAGTGAGTTCCAGGAAAGGCGCAAAGCTACACAGAGAAACCCTGTCTCGAAAAACCAAAAAAAAAAAAAAAAATGATTGTATTTCTTGGTAGGATTTGGAACATGTTTCTTCCTCTGCCAGTTTTTCCCCCTGATTATTATAGTCCCTTATCAGGTGCTGGGTTACATGGGCTCAGGTGTACCAGACTTTTTCATAGTTAAGTTAGGGATTGAAGGTAATTAGAATTGTTGTGTCTTAATGAAACTATTACACAATTTATAATAATAACAAACACATAAAAAGTCAAAAGGAATATGAAAAGTATAAATGAAAATTAAGAACTTTTCTTCTTGGCAGGTGGTGGCGCATGCCTTTAAT